GCTCACGATGACGTTGTGTTTCGTTATTGGCCGCCGCGTGTTCGATCCGAGCTTCCGTGCTTCGCCACTTGAGTACAGCACGAGCGCAATCGTTTTCTGATACTCTCCTCACACATGCTCACACATCCACACACAAGCGGAAACGAAGGGCGAACCATGACGTTCATCCCTGACCGCGCACGTTCGAGCGCATCTCCCAGCGGAAAACGTGTGCGAACACACACGCACGCGAACACATATGCACAGGCAGGCACACACACGCACACACACACACACACACACACACAGACACACACACGCCCCTCAGGTACAGACGCGCGCACGATCCTGCCTCGCGCGTTTGGCACACACTTCAATACAATCACAAACACAAAGGAACACGCACTCGAACACACAGACACACACACAATGAAACATGCACAAACACACGATCGCACACAAACACAAACACACACACACGCCCACCCGCACACATGCAGCCACGAAACCTTTCGATCTACACGAGCATATCGTCACAAACAACCTCCCCCGCACGCGCGCACATGCAAACATACATCCCGACTGCGTGCGCACTCACCGTGTGGAACTGCCGAGTGAAGATGAGCGCGAACCCCGGTGTTTGTCGTGACGGCACTCTGTCCACCTTTGGGCGTGCACTTCGCGTTTTCTGGGGTGCTGCGTGGGGTGGCGGTCGCGCCTTCCGAGAAATGAGATCGGAAGCGACGTCGAATATGACGTGGACAGCGACTTGGTGGGCGGAGGGACATGCGAGGGCATGTGGGGTGCGTCGGTGCCACGAAACGTGCGCGGTGAAGAATGGTTGTGCCAGCTATGGCGCGCTAGCTGTTGACGACAGTGGCGGTGTGTGGCTTCTGTCGGGCAGCATCTCCCCAGCAAAAACGCAGAACGCATCGTCAATGGCCAGGGCGCCGCTCGTGTTTGTAGGCGCGCGGGACACGAGGCCCCCTCGGGCCTTCCTTTTCGGATTTTCGTGCAGGGTTCGCGCGCCGACGCACGGCTGTTCGATCCGCGCATCGAACGGTGGCTGCACGTCAAAATTGTGGCGAGGGGGGCCTGGTGCATCGAAATGTGACAAAAATGTCCCTACGGGCTGGCCCTTCCCGGACGTCATTGGAAAACGGGCCCTTGTTCCGGGCCCCTCGCGTTCGTGTCTTCGGGTTCGCGGGCCCCGGTG